CCTTTTTTCTCTCCATCCTCTCCCTTTCCCATTGTTGTCTGTGTAACAAAAAATAAAAATAATTAAAAAAAAAATGTCCATACCGGGTGCCGAAGGCCATCTTCCATTCGTCCCCTGCCCGGACTCGAACCAGATTATACGCACCACGCAAGTCCAGTTTCGTGAACACTGTCGCCTCCCGGAGCCACTCCAATTCAGTAATCAGGGGCAGAGGGTAACGGTTGTGCACCGTAATCACATTCAAGCGATGATAATCACAACAGAGTCTCAGATCCTTGGTCTTCTTTTGGACGAACAAAACCGGGGCAGACAGTGGCGAAGACGAGGGCCGGATAAAACCCTGGGCGAGGTTCTTGTCGAGAAAGTCCCGCAATGCGGCTAACTTCAGCTCGGATATGGTGTACAGGCGGCACACAGGGAGCTGCGCATCCGGCACTAAGTCAATGGAGCAGTCATAAGGCCAGTGTGGCGGCAATTGGTCCGCCTCCTGCTTGCTGAAGACATCCGCGAACTCCGCTGGCAATGACACCTTGGGCAATCTCAGCACCTGGCCTGCACAGACGTGACGGGTGTGGTCGACACATTGCAGGGACGGGAACGTGACCAGGTTCTAAGACCAATAAATCTGGGGGTCGTGCGCCCACAGCGAGGCCAAGCCCAGGACCACGGGGAAATGCAGGCCCGAGGCAATGTAAAACTGGATGGCCTCCTCGTGATCCCCGATGATCAGGCACAAGGGCTGCGTGGCGGCCTTGATAGGCCTAGACAGAAGCACCCCGTCCATCAATGGTCTTGACCAACATTGGTGGATCCACCGGACACAGAGGGACGGCATACTTGGTCGCAAATGCCTCATCCATGAAGTTCGTGGTAGCCCCAGAATCGACCAGGACATGGGCCGGAATCCCCAGCGGACTACCAGACAGGAGAATGCGTGCTGCCAAGATCAAGTGCCAGGGAGGGCTGTCAATTTCTGTCTCAGTGTGCGCCCAACCTAAGGTCTCCTTCAGATCGGGCTCTGCCCGTTTCCCGACAAGTTGTTCTGGAGCTGAGGTGTAGGCCCCAGACCTCGCAGCCCCCTACTCTTCTTGGGGCAAACTGCTGCCAGGTGCCCAAGATCCCCGTAATAAAAGCACAACTCCCCTGCACGCCATCTGTCCATCTCATTTCGCGACAAGTGGGGTTTGGCTGCACCCGAGTCCATGGGCTCCTCCCGTGGAGCTAGGGTCTCCTGCGGTATCGGCACCCCTTCTGGTCTCCTGGGACGTGTGGCAACTCCCCCGCCTCTGCAAATGGGCGTCTATCTGCAGCCACAGGTGGATCAGCGTGTTGAACGTCGGTGGCCTGTCCACCCACACCAGCTCATCCTGCAGGTCGTCCGACAGCCCATCTTGAAAGGTGTCCATGAGGGCTGCCTCATTCCAGGCCGAATCTTGGCTAAGGAGCCGGAATTCACTGACATAGTCCTGCAAGGAACCCCGGCCCTGCTTCAGTGTCTTGAGACGTCTGGTGGCTCTTTTCTCCTTAATGTCAAGAAGCAGGCAGAGCAAATACTGGAGGGTTTTACAACTGCAAGTACAAAAACTTTAACTCCATTTCAGGAAGTTCCTTCTGTTAAAATTAACAAGATAGAAGTGAAAATGGTGCCCAAACATTAAAGGTTGTGGTTAAACTGAAACTTAACAAGCAATTATCTCTTAAGTGTTTCCTAACATTGTTAAAAGAACCAAGAGTTTAAGATCATACAAGACAGCATTGACTTACTAACAAGCTACAAGACTTAACAATTGGGGATTAGGTGGACTTTTTGGACTTAACAATTTGGCTGCAGATAAGTGTGATTGAATAGCTGAAACGGCTTCAAAGCAAGTCAAATTAACTGCTCCAAAGAGCGCTGGCAGCTCTCCAGCCCAGACAAACAAATTGCAATCATTATTACCTCATCCCCCTGCGGAGGTTTTAACTCTTGAAGCTCTTCAAGGTGCCTTAAAGGAACAGGCTTCTGTATTCGAAGCAAAAATAGAAGAAAAAATCACATCTGCCTTTAAAAAAGTCTCTGATGAAATGTCTGAAATCAAGGATTTAATCCAAACCCACAATCAACAAATAAGAGAAGACATAGTGGAGGCCTTTAATGGTTTGGCTAGTTATGTAACGTCATTGGAGGACAGGCTGGAAGAAATTAACCAGT